GGTGTAAAAAACTCTTTGGATTATCTCAAAATCTATTTTCATATTTAATTATAAAATTTTAAATTCCAAAAATGGTTAAAATCAAGTAGATCAATAAACTTGAAAATCTTGAAAATGGACGGTCTAGATAATGTGTTACAAGATGCACTATTTCTGGGACTCAAATTTTTTTTTTTTTATATTCATACATCTCATCGATGAGATGATCAATTAGAGGGAACATTAAAACAACCTTTTCCAATGGATTTTTGAGGTGCATCTGTATTTCTACATTTTAAGGTTGCAACCTTATATAAACTTTTTCCATTTAATATTAATTTAAGGTGACTTGATGGTTGTCTTTGCCTTGTTTTCATACTACAGTTGATTAAAGCCGAAACCTGGGAAGCGTTCATCGCTGATACTTTTTTATATGCAAAGGTATTCTCATTTGCCTCTCTAAGTTTAACTATTCACTCCATTGTGTAAATTTAGTTATTCAATCCATTGTGTAGACTGTAGAATGCTGCAATTAACACAAAACTGTATATCATGTCATATTATTGGAACCTTTCCTTTCCTCCCTAGTCACTAATCTGTCATTCATGCCTTCTAGGAAATCCCATTAATTCCTTTACAGTGTACGTTTTTGTTTGATGCTTCATAATTAAGAATACTATAACTCAATGGACTTACTGTGAACTCATAATCCATTGGAACGTCATCCATCACCTTCTGATGAAATTATTGTAGTGGTAACTTGTCTGTTATCTAAATAGTGGCTTGCAATCTCTTCATCACCATATCCTTTGGGTTATAGTATACATGCCCTTGAAATAATTATTGTAGTGGTAACTTGTCTGTTATCTTACTTATCTTTTTTTTCTGTTCTTCTTTATTAGATTTTATTGTCGTACAATTTTGTGACCTTGAATGTATCTTTCTTCTCTTGATTTTGGGTTTCAGGGTTTCCTTATCATGGTTGCTTTAGTATTGGACTATCACTTAGCCTATTGGTACTTGTTGGGTCTCTCAGGTACATTCTCAGACCAAAGCATTTGAATCAGAATTGAGGGAAAATGCTTATTCTAATATTGAAGGAAAGCCCCAAGTAATCTGAACTATTGATTGCACATTTCATAATTTGTTACCGAAGGTAGTATTTGCATTTTGTAACTTTGTAATACACGTGAGAACTAGATATATGTAGCATCATACTAGTGCAGCAAACTTCTAGAGGACCAAAAGAGATTTTTTTTTTCTTTTATACATGCTACACATTACTTTTATATCTTTTTTATTTTCTGTGGCTATATGCGGCATTTGTCGTCTTTTTTTAAAACAATAATAAGCATTGTGTTGGCATCCATTTGACCGAATTGTTTGTTTTATCTCTTTCAGTTGTGTCAATTCTGACTCGACAACCTGCTTTTTCTGGTTTAGGTATGCTTAAAAACTTCCTTTATCACTTCGAAATTCTTCCTTCTTACTCTTTTGGCTCATCTTTGCATGCTACACATCAAGAGAAAATTACACATTGCTAAAGGTGTTTGCAACTGACATTAATGTTTCTAAACTATATGAAAGCCACTATTTGTTTGGGTGCCACTAGGCACAAATTTGTTTGTTTTAACTTTGACAAATTATAGCAGTGACACACTTTATAGATGATCAGATAAGGTAGTCTGATTAGAAATAGTGAGACATGCATCTTGTGTCCCATAAAAAGATGTATTGATCGACACACTTTATAGATGATCAGATAAGGTAGTCTGATTAGAAATAGTGAGACATGCATCTTGTGTCCTATAAAAAAATAAATCATCAATAAGTATAAAAACATGGAGAATTTTCGGCATGTCAGGAATGGATTGCTGGATGGGAGGAAGCTAATCATTGAAAATTCCCTGACCTATACACTGAAAGTCCATTTAAAATCTTACACTCGGAAGTTTCCAGGAGGAATTGCATCAGGGGAACTTGGGATGCACAAACTGCATATAGAAATATCTTGTTATTTTCCAGTTAAAGTCTCAGTCAGTCAAGAATTTGGGTAAGAGTTGTATTTTTCTGTTGATAAGAAGCTAATCGAACTTGGGAATTTTCTTGTGTTGGGGCATTATAGCAATCTGAATATCACCATGTTTTCTAGTGACATAATGTTCAATATATTTGTTAGGGGCTGGAAAGGAACCACGTAACTTGCCGGTTATTGTCTTTATGGCCTAAAGCCTAAACTCTAAATGTCTAAAGATAGTTTTCTGGGGCTAGATGGATACCAAAATATCTAGGAAAATGTTATTCTGCCCTGTGATATTGTCTACTCTACTGTTTATCAGTGGGATATAAAGCCTTGTGCTGTATCTTTAGTGGTACCTTTTATGCGACTAGCTCATGGATTGCCAGCTTCACCTTCCCTTGCCACTAATGAGGAAGCTACTGCAGGCTGGTAGCGAGGAATAGCTTGCATCGTCGGTGGGTGGTTCTGTTCGAGTCCCCAGAAATGGCCCTGCTCATGAAGAAGCAGTTCGCTGCCATCCCACTCTTTCCAGCAGGGATAGTGGAGTTTGGTTGACTACTATTTGAGTTCGTAGGAACTGAACAAGGATGGAGTTGTTTTTAGTTAGTACTGTTTGGTACTTAATTAACTGGTTATAAGGCAACACTATACTATAAAGAGTGATCAACGGGCTACTTGAGTTCCAAAGGCTAACATCTGTTCGACCAATACAATAAGGTTTACTTTGGAAACTAGTAGGCATTTATCCTAAGTTGAGTCCCATGTTTCTAAAAGCCTTTGCTATTAGGACTTGTCCAACAGTAGAGCGAACGACATATTGTTGGACAACTCCTAATAGCATAGGCGACCGGGCAACCGGCATGCTCGCCTTTTTCAGATTAAGAAAAGCTACTAAGACTAAAGTACTACTATTGAAGTAGCGAATCGTTCAAAAAAACGCTCACTTGCCAGCCATAGACTTTTACGGGTCAGTACATCTGTGGGCCACCCAAGGCTGTGGATGAGAGATTGTTTTAAGATAGATTCCGTCCACTGCTTCCCCTGCCCTATTGTCGGATTCATAATACCTTTTGATAATTCTGTTAGGTCTCCCCGGGCTAGCGAGGTTTCTTTCTCTTCCAGAAGGTGCCGATTACCCATACTCATCTGCACATTGAAAGTCGAGTCGTGTCCAGAGTCCAGAGGGTGTGATGCCCATTCCCAACGGGCCAAATTTCTTAGAATTTCCTTTGCTATACCATGCTATAGCGTAAGTAATAAAACCAACAAAAAATGGTTTCTATCTTAGAGACCTCAATCTTCCTTCGGGGTGGGGAAACACCACTAGCGGAGTGATTCCTCATTGTCTTTGTGTGAGTCCTGTACAGATTGTTTGCCTTCGCATTCCCACTCATATTGTTTGCCTTCGCATTCCCACTCATACTTCTGCTATGGCCTCCCCACCCATTGTGATTGTGACTTCTAAAGTTTTTTCATAGTTTTCAGGAATCCTATTCAAATTTATTACCTTCCGGGTTCATACGCTTGCAATTGCTTCCCCAACCATCATGAATATTACGTCTAAAGTTTGTACCTCTATTTTTTGGCTGCGGCACATTGCCTACGTGTGGTGAAACGTTTGGATGAAGAGTGCATGTTTTCATGGATGCAATCTTTATATTAGGAGTGCAATCCCCATATTAAGAATCCTTGAATCTGTTACCATTTGAGAGAATGTGTTCGGGAAATGAAAATCAGATCTTGAATTTACTATAAAGCGTACTTTACAGGCATGCATATTGCAATATAAAGGATACTATTTCTATAAAGGTGGACAGTGCCTCACAATGCAGTAATAAAACCTGAAAACATCAAGTAAACTTCCATTATTTACAGATGTAGAAGCATAGACTGTGGTGAGTATACTAAGAGGAATTGTTCCCATGTCTATAAGATTCTGAAATACATGATTTTGTAAACTCTTTTTATTGTTTAATAAAATAAAATAACTCTAAAAAAAAAACCCTCTGATCTTGCAATAAAACTAAATTTATTCACCATGTCTACTTATGCAATATAAAGGAGTAAAGGATGCTGTTGTGATAAAGGTGGAGAACACATACACAATAAAGGAGTGCATTGAAAAACTTCAAGAAGTGTATCTCTTATTTTTGGTCGCGAGGACATGACTGTGGCTGTATAAGCACGAAAACTGATGTGTATGATGCTGAAATACGTTACTTGACAGTCCAGGGTATAACTGGCCTTCTCAATGATGAGGTTCGTTGCTCGTGTTTGGTGTCTGAGTTTTAAAATGAAATTCTCAGGGTTTGCCTGTTCTTTTCAATGTTTGCTAAACCAAGTTGTTGAAACTTCTGTGACAGGTCATTAGTTTCATTCCATGTATTTCCTGGATACGAACTCACACGAACATGAGTAGCAAAAGAAGTTCAAGTAAATAACAATTGCTAAAATGACAATTATTCTGTTTTGCTAGGCAATTCAACTCGTCTGACACCATTGCAGTTGGAAGTTCTTCTCACTGAAGGCAACACTTCCAGGTTTTGGTTGGTTTGTTCTTTCTCTATACCACTCATTAACATCCTCTTTTGCTTATATTCACGACGCATAATCGCACATTCAGGACGCATTGCCTTGTCATCATGTATTTCACATTATGAGTTAACTAATTAATTTGATACCCGTGTCTGTAATATTTCCGTAAATTGATCACAATGCTAGCAACACAATAGCTTGTTAAGTATGCTCACAGTGAAAAACTCAGAAATCTATTTTAATGATAGGTAATTAGTTCAGGAAAAACTCAGGACTCTATTTTACAAAATGTATGCATACAATAGAGAGAGTAATCCCTCTCCCCCTCTATTTTACAAAATGTATGCATACAATAGAGAGAGTAATCTCTCTCCCCCATCTATCTTTTTCTCTTGTTTATATTTAAGGAATTTATAAGGTCACCCCTAATAGATGAACTCTATAACAATTTGCCCATTTACAACTAGTCCAACTCAAGACAATGTATTTTTTATGGGTATTTTAAAATTAAGTCAAAAGATATGGGCAAAGTGTTAACTTATTCATTTCTTATTGGTAGTTTGATAAATTTCCTTTAAAATTATTTGCTCTCTCTTCCTTTTTTTCTTTTAATAGTTTGAAATGAAGGAATTATTAGGGCATTTATATGATTTGAGTTGACTAAAATAATATCCTTCGTTTCATTTACAATGCGAGTATATTACTGTGAAGGACTTGTATGTTACTTTGAGTTAATAAATATGAGTTACTACTCTCAAATTCTCTTTGAGTAAATTTACTGGTACGTACAAAAAGATATTGATTATGCATCTAAATATTATTTCAAATGATTATGTTTATTTTATTTTTTCAAAATTTTCCTTTTTTATATATTTATTCTATGGTGCTTCCATGGCGCTCCCAAGCTAACAACTTCTAGCAACCAATGATCCCCTCCTCTTAATCGCATACCCACTCCCTCGTCCGCCTCCAACAACTATGATTCGAATTACTCTTGCACATTATTGGCTTAATGAGTAGAGTTCCTTGATGCCATTGTGAAATGTGAATGTTAAGAAGTATCTATGTGTTCAAAGCAATGGATTTGACTAAGTTATTTATGAGTTATGAGTTACTAAGTTATTTATCAGAAATGAAACAAGTCACAAAAGAGCAAAATTAATAGCATACATTTATTGGAGCTTTTAAATAAATTCTGAGAATCTGGAATCTTGTACACATTGGGCACTTACAATTTCATGCCATTGTTGGATGTCTGATTGTTCCTAGAAAAATATTTATTCTGTTGAATTCTTCAAGTTGGTAATGACTTTTTGTTTGCTTCGTAGGTGGAGTTCCGGACTTTGTGGTCATCCAAATGCATACGAACTAGTCGCATTTTAGCTGATCTGTCAATCACGTGAGATTTTTATTATCTTCTATTTTAGTAATGCAGTTGTTGAGGAAGCAAAACACTTCAAGTTGATGGCTCTCAGTTGATGTTGATGAAATTAAATTATTTTTTTATTGATGAATTTTAATTATTGTTTAGTGTTGCATAGACTCCAACACAGATGTCCATCCCTGACAGATCAAAGATATCTTAGATGGCACTTAAGAATCACCTGTGGTGATTATATAATGGAAACAATATGACACACATGTTCTTTATAAATAAAAGAATATTAACTAAAGGAAAATTGTTTCATGCTAGTTGGACTGCATTTCTATAATATGCGGCCCAGAGGTATAAAGCAATGTTGTCAGATTCGTTTCGGAGTCTTCTACGGTTTGGTGAGAAAAATGCAGCAATTCGGTGCTTCGGTCGATTCGGGGGAAGACTTAGGCCTTTTTTTTATTTATTTAATTTAGTATAAATAATTAAATAATTATATATAAAATATATACAAATAATAGAAAAAACTAAAAATAAAAAATATATTTATATAACTATTTCTTTGCTAGCCGAAGCATACTTGAAGCATACCTGAAGCAAACCCGAAGCGGTCCGAATTTGACCGAAGTAGCCTGAAGCGATCCGGATCTGACCGAAACGACAACACCAGGCTTCGCTTCTCTTCGGTTTATGCCTTAAAACCGAAGGCTTTGAACCTCGTTGGCCGAAGCGAAGCGAATTTGATAACATTGGTATAAAGCATCCATCTTAAAGATGGATGCAAATAGGTGGTCCATCTAAAAACAAGTGTAACTAACGGACCAAATGTTTTTTTAATATAATTATTTTTCTTAGTCTTCAATTTTTTTTTCCCCATATTCATGATCTCCATGTTAAAGATTATATATTCTCTAAAAATTAGGATCAAATTATATTTAAAAAATATATTTATTGCCAAGCCCGCATTTCTACAATATGCAGACTGGCCGTATAGAAACCGTGTCCTTAACTAAAACACTATCGTTCATATAACAATATTTTTATTAACTTTTCTGAAAGCTTGAAATAAAAAAAACCTTAAATGTTATAGGAGGTAAATTGCATAAATTTGTGTATCCATAAGGTTTATTAAGATATATAATAATTTTTTAGTATCTATATAAACTATTGTAATAAATATAAAAAATTATGAAATAAATATAAAAATTAATGTGTCACGAGGTGTCGAAAGTTCAGGTGTCAGGTTTGTGTCCAATATTACGGGGTGAGTGAAATGACTTTTTGGATTAAGACTGCTTTAATTAGAATACTAACTTGGTAGTGTGTTAGTGTTCAGGATTTTGTTATTCTTTGTAATTAACTGAATCTGAACATATCTGAATGCTTATATTTGTTTTTTTCCTACCAGGTATTCAAACAATAGTCTGTCTTTTGGTATGGTTGATTTGGGGCTCTTCCCAAATGCTGCAGAAAAATTTGGAATATCTTTGGGTGGTATTTATTCTTTGCTAATTATCTATGGGTGATATATTATTGGCAATCTTGCTTGTTTAATATTCCAGGCTTAACATGTTATTCAATGAAACTTATGAAACATTCCATGGAACTTAACTGTATGCTTTTTTATTATTTTATTTTATTTATGATTGATGGCAGTGACACATGGGCAACTTCCGACATATATATTATTTGACAAGGCCATAGAAATTGCTCGTTATCCTGAGGTGGATTTTGAATCAAAGGCGTCTGCATCAACTATAACCAAGGTACTGCTTGGTAAAGTTTATAGTTGCCTCCTCATGTTTATCAGTTTACAACTTCTAAATCAAGGTTATCAATAACTTGTCACGATAATTTGTTGGGTTTTCTTTTGAAATGTATTCGCATGAAATATCTCAAATGTTCCCAATAAATTTAGAACCTAGCTTGCTTATTCAAATAACTTGTTTGATTTGGAAATAAATTTTGTTGTTCAACTACTTAGGCCATTCCAATTACTTTTTATATTTAACTTTTATTGTTGAAGTTTTGTTGATTAATTGCTTTTGGCCATTCAATTATTTATTGTTTACTTTTATCATTGAATTAGAGATTGCATGTATACTTCTATTAAGGCCATTCCAATTACTTCTTCTGGTTGGAAAAAGGTTTTGATGATGATGATTGTACATCATTTTTACACAACCAGAAGAAGACGTACATGGGAAAAAGGTGTCATCAGAGTGGCAAATAATATAGTTGAAAGTTGAAATAGCCTGTCAACGCACTCACCTCTTTGGCTAGGAAATCAATATGCTCACTGACTTTCCTCAGAGTACATCACCATCGATTTACTGATGTCCTATAATAATACATACGGCAAACATGGTATATATAGTATGCTTTATCCATCTGGTATCTCTCACATTTAGTTTTGTAAGCTTTGATGGACAAGCAGCATCTTCCCTCTTCAACCCCATATTCGCATTCAGCATGTTGCTCTCCATCATTGTAATCTTATAAAATGCTGAGATGCACTTTGTGGTCTGTATTTCTGTTATTAGTGATCTCACTGAGCCCTTGTGACTGCAGGCTCTGATCATGCCTGCAAAGACCTTCAGACCTTGGCATTGCTATCCATCACTATGACAACTGCACTTTATATCAGCCTTTTTTCCTCATAGCATTGATTTTAAAGTTCGGATTCAGGGTTTCTTTGTGAACTTAAGTGGATGCCATATTCCCCTCATGGAATCTGTAATTCACCCCTGTATCACCTTGTACATTAGAATAATTTTTAACGGCATTTTCCCATTAACTTTCTTTCTGCCTTACCTCATTTTGATTAACAAAATACTATTTTTATAGGAAAAGACAAAAAAACAGCATTGACCGGTAACATCTTGCTTCTAATCCTGGTCCTTGACAGAAATTCCGCGAATGTCTTCAGGGAATTTGAACAATGTTAATTAAATCCAAAAACAAATAGAAAGAAAATCGGCATATTTTTGGCCTTTAAACTACATCCTCAAACTAACCTTCTGTCTCAAAAACAATCCTTCATTTGTCCAGAACACCTATGTCACCAGCCTCTTCTCCTCAAATTTAGTTATTTAGATTGTTATATCCATAATATTAAGGGAACCTAGCACCCAATGAAAAATAAAAACATGCGAAGCTTTCATTTCTATGCTCAATGTCCAGTTTATTTGGTTGTGAAACTTCAATTTAGATGCAAGTACGTGCAGAGAGTTTCATCATCTCTTCTATTTCAATATTTCCCAGTTATTCTTTGCTGAGATATTTGAAATGCGTGGTTCATTGCGGAAGAAAAATATCTACCAACTTCTCTTTGATTTCAATATTTCAAAGTTATTCTTTGATGAAATATATGAAATGATTGGTTCATTAGGGATGAAAATATCCATCTTTTCCTCTTTTTTGTTGAAGATAATGATTAAATTATCGCTTGTATGTATTGCAGGGTCTACTAGCTCGACATTTTGAGCTTGATCGGAGGCTCATTGAATACGTTTCTGGCAATTGAGAGAAGCATTATATAAGAGATTTCATTGTTTTTGCAAGTTGTCATTCCATTGGATATGTTTTTTTTATAGGGCATGGTTTCTATAAGGTTGCAACTTTGAACAATCCAATTAAGGAGCACCTCCAAAGTTTATCATAATATGTAATTTTGATGTAAAAATTTTTTAGGATTATCTCAAAATCGGTTTTCATATCTAATTATAAAATTTTAAACTCTAAAATTAGTTAAAATCAATTAGATCTATAAACTTGTGAAAATCTTGAAAATGGACGGTGTAGATAATGTGTTGCAAGGTGCACTATTTTTAGGATTCAAAGTCTTTTGTTTTTTTTTCATATTCATACATCTCGCTGTCGAGATGTCCAATTAGAGGGCTTTTCAACATTAAAATAACCTTTCTGATAGATTTTTGAGTTGCATATGTAGTTCTACATTTTAAGGTTTGCAACCTTATATAAACTTTTTCCTTTTTCATGTCCTATTGTGATACTTATGTCCCCTCGAATCCTCTAGAGCAATTGTTTCGACATATTTCCATTTTCTTTCCTACTTTGCTTTTGTAATCTATATTTTTTGGCCAATTAAATGGCATTAATGTCAACTAATCCAAGTAAGGTGTATATCTGAACTTTGTCATAAGATGTAATTTTGTAATTTTGGCATTGGAAATCCTTAGGTTGGCTTGAGAATCTAGGTTTGTCTCTAATTATAAACTTTTAGACTCCAAAAATAGTTCAAATCAAGTAAATTTATAAATGCATGAAAATCTTGAAACTTGATGGTCCAAATAAGATGATCAATTAGATGGTTTTCTCCCATCAAAATAGCCTTTTCTAACGGATTTTTTAGGTGTACTTTAATTCTACAATCCAAGGTGTCCACTTTATATAAACTTGGGAAAATATCTTCATACTTTTTATTTTTAAGTTTTATTTCACAATAGACCCAAGGTTTTAAAAGATATCTTGGGACAAAATTGTAGATTTTATTTTTTTTAACCCTTGAGTTAATTTAGACCTGTTTTTTTAGGCCAAACAAATCTAAAAAGACATACATTTTTTAAAAGCCATCTTCTCAAACTTCTAGAAAGAGAGAGAGAGAGAGAGATCGAGGCTTCACGGAGGTGAGAAATTATTGAGAGGAGAAAGGTGTTTGGAGAAATACGGGAGTAGAGAGAAATGTAGGAAGAGAGAGAAAGAGAGAAGTTTGGGGTATATAAGTAACGAAAGAAAATTGAGTTTAGAAATAGCATGTTTTTTTCACATTTCTTTAGGTTAAAAAATAGGTCCAAAATGACAGGGAGTTAAAAGATATCTTTTGAAATCCCGGGTTTATCAAGAAATGAAACTTAAAAATATAAAATATGGATATATTTTCCTCATAACGGAATTATATACAAAGAGACCAAACACAAAAACAAAAACAAATTAAAAAAAAAGGTTTCTATTAATAGGAATTTGAGTGTATATAAACTATTTGACAATTTTGTATAGCTCCCATTTGTATATCACTTTTGGACGATTAATGAAAATATCGAGTAAACATTCAAAATGAAGTTCCATTGATTTTCGAGTAATCTCATCTCTCTTCATTAAATAACGTTTAGTACGTACTCTTGTTGGAGCACAGTACGAATTTTCTCCATCGTTCAACTTGTGAGTATTAGTAATACTACTGCCAAACTATACACATAAAAAAACAACCCAAAAAAAAAACAAACAAACGAGGAATATTCACAAAAAAAAACAACCAAAAAAAAAAACAAACAAACGAGGAATATTCACGAAAAAAAACAACCAAAAAAAAAAACAAACAAACGAGGAATTTTTGGTATGAAACTTAGGGATACAGTTTATTGATCAATTGATGGATATTTTAAGAAATTTGAAGAAATATTTTTTGAATGTCTCCCTTTAATCTTAAGATCTTTTTCTTTCAATCAGGGCTCGTTTGGTCCATGCGTAACAATTCACATATGTAAACAGTTACCTGTGCAAGATTTTTTCAATCCTGTTTTTTTCATGTGTCAGGGGTTAAAAAGGATACGTCCCCAAACATTGGGGTCCTGATAAAACCTCCTGGAATGGTTTAAACCTGAGTTGTGGATGGCTATTATGCTCCCGAGGGAGCATATCATCTTTTGACATTGTTGTAACACAGGGAGTGAGTTAGAGAGTAGCATCGATTTCTTTTGGTGTTGGACTTTAATCGGTATTAGTAAACACAAAATTGTTTCTTTTATATTACAATAGCATTATTGAATAAATTCACAAAGACCCACTTTGCTTACAGGAGGATGTGGTCAGAGAAAACTCTGATGGGTGCGAAGCCATTTCACGTCCTGTTATGTTTAACAGGGTGATACGTAGACTATTCAATGTTCGTAGTTTGGCATATGTGGGTGGTGCTACATGTAAAGTTATCCCTTCGTTTTCGCGCAAAATATTCTATAAAATGTCTGTATGTTTGTGTTTTATTGTCTATACATATATGACACTATTGGGGAAGATTCTAATCAGACATTGATCCCTAGGAAAAAAACTATTCCAAAACATACTCAAAAGTCCATGTACTACCTCACAAGGAGGTTGGAGAGAGACTAGACTATAAATGATTGCCTAGTACAAGCCCCTTCCATGAGTGGATGCAGATGGATGCTCAGTTATGCAGAGGAAGAGCCTGCCCTGGTTATTCATGGATTTAGAACATGTAACACATCTTATATGATTCAAATTACATTTTTTTCTTAGAAGGTCAATTTTGGCTCTAATAAATAGTGTGGATTTGATGATATGTGAAATAATAAAATAAACTATGCAAAAAGAATTGCTTAAAATTGATATCTTAAAGTTTTTTTTTTTGTTTTTTTTTTTCAGATTCATGATGGTGGTGGTCATGATTATCGATCTGCAAAAATTTGAATCCCAAGATAGACTTTAAAAAGGGTATTGCATCATTCACACATACATCGGCCGAAGCACCAAAACCTTGTTTTGAAGGTAAGAGTACTTACTTTGTCTTAAAGGAAACCAGAATGTGATTGAAATCGAGGGAATAAACATAAGGGATTGTCCATAAAGAGACCGTTTATCTTTTATATAATGAGGTCACAACTATTTCCACTAATTAGATGTCAAATTGGATGCTTTAAGATGAGTCATGAAGTTCAAATTTCTTATTTAAACTTTACCATGAAAGGAAGCATGTCTAGCGTGCCTTAGTGCAGTTAGCACCCATGCCCAGAACCTTGGATTCCTTAATTCTACTTTCTTAAGAACTTCAGACTTTTGAAATGAAATATTCTGAACTCTCTATTGAAATTCTATAAGCCTCCTCTTATTCATTACCTGATGAACTCTCTCTCTCTCTCTCGCCCTGTCTGTGAGAAATGACTTGTGACTTCTCATTTACATGATGGAGAATTACAATAGAATAAAAAAATCTGTAATCACAATCTGCTCTCTCTCTCTCTCTCTCTCTAAAATTTCCATGTTCATGATTCAAATTGCAGGAAATCAAAAGTCCCAACAAGCTTTTTGCAACAATGGGGCTATTCTCATACCTTTTAAGCGTTGGTGTTGTTCTTCTCATTGCTAGATTTGGCTATCATTTTGATGGACACATGCTATGGAAGTTGGGCATAATGTTCATTTTCCACGCCGTATTCTTCCTTGTCTTCTACTTGATCGGTGATCATGCTTCTAAACAAAACGCTCCTCTTCCTCAACAAGAAGCTCAGCCACCTCCACCTCAACAAGAAGCTCAGGCTCCTCTTCCTCAACCTTAAATTTTTTTATGTACATAGGGTGTGGTTTGTAAAGGCCTGAGGCCCAAAACAATAAATAAAAAGCACACATTCAAATAGTGCTGAAATGCGTTGTTCCAGTATAAAAAGTCTTTATGATGGCTTGAAAAAATTATAAAGTTTATAGAGTTAAAAAATAATGTAAGTCGAGCACATCTATAAACATTTGAAAATTTTAAAAATTGGTGGTCTAGTTACAAGATGCATTATTTGCAAGACTTGAAATCTATTATTTCTCATGTCCATACATATTGAGGTCGAGATGATCGAATTGGGGGTTTTTCAACATTGAAACAACCTTTTCTAATGCATTTTTGAGGTGCGTCTTAGTTTTGATAGTTTAGGGCCTCACCTTTATATAAACCTTTTCATAGAAAATTTGATATATCAACTGAGGTTCAATTATCAGCATTTAGAATGCTTAAAAGAGATGAGCCGAAAAAATTTATGTCCCCAACTAGAGTATATCCCCGATATCCCCGCAGGCAAACCTCTATCTAGAAATATACTAAACAGTATATAAAATAAAATATTTTTTTTAATTCCCAACCGTGTTTGGGTCCAAATGACATAGACCCGACCCTGGTCGGGGTCCAAATCACTGGGACCTCATCTGAGTCCAGATCCGGGTGATACCTAATCAGGTTGGGTCCAGGCCGGGGCCAAACCGGATCCTACTCTTCCCATTGCCACCCCTATTTGCAAGGTCTGTTTTTTCAATATTAAATGGAAAACCAGTATCATAAAAGAGGGTTCAACTGATATTATTGCAGTGGTGGGTGTTTGGGGGATTCAAGGAGTGGCACTTGAACCACTACCCTTGATGAAATCAATGGGTGCGGTGAGAGGTAAGACATTAGGTGCGAGCACATATATATGGAAAAGAATGGCTCTGGGTGTGTTCGCCCATGAGAGGAGGTTTTTTTGGTAGTCAATAAGTAGGGCTCTTAACGGCCTCGGGCTGGCCTGCGGTTTTTGTGTCGAGCTTGGTCTTGGCCCGAAACTTTTTAAATGTCACACAAATTCAAACTTTTTTCTTTCCACATTTATACAGGGCCCGTCCTTGTCCAGGCCGATTTTTTTCGGCTGGGCTTAGGCCTTGACCAGGTTACATCCCCAAATATTGGGTCCTGATAAAAACTACTGGACCAGGTTATAACCTGAGTAATGGATGGCTACTATGTTCCCGAGGGACCATAGTGTCTTTTGACATTGTCCAAACACGCAGAATTAGAGACTAGCAACCCATTTCTTTTGGTGTTGGATTTGAATGGGTATTAGTATTATTTTTTTTCTAGCTTTTATATTACAATGACATTATTGAATAAATTGACAAAGACCCAGAGATTTCTTCGATGGTTCCAAAGCCAT